CTGAAGACCTCCAACAAAGGGGAACCCATCACTGCTCCGGGAAGGACATTCCACTCAGGGACACCTTTCATCGTTGGGAAGGGTTTCCTGACGTCAAACCTCAGTTTACCCCTCTGCCACTTCTAACCCATCGTTCTTGGTTCTGCTGTTGGTGGCCAAGCAGAAAAAACAAAATCTCTCTTCTACGTGACAGCCTTTCATATACGTGAAGACAGATCTCACGCCCTCCTCCCTGCCTCAGCCTTCTCTTCCCCAGGCTAAGAATTCCCATTTCCTTCAGCTGATGTTCATATGTATGGTGTGAAAGACAAGCCCTTTCCCATGCTAAAGTGACCGTCTCTGGTCACTCTATAGCTCGTCTAGGTCCTTCTTAAACCATGGCCCCCTAAAAATGAGGTAGGGCAAATGGAACCACATCACTGGGGACACCTCTCTGAGTACTCAAAAACCCACAACTCACTCATAATAACAGCTGACACTTCTAGAGAAGCCCAGAGTTGGCAAAGTGCCTTCCATCTCAATTAAGCCTCACGTCAACTGTGTGAGGTAGGTGCTAGTGTGCCCATTTTACAGAGGAAGAAACTGAGCCTCAGGGAAGTAAAGTGACTTGGCCAGGGTCACTCAGCTAGTACATCTCAGAGGCAAGATTTTAATCCAGACTTTTCTGACTTTGCTCCCAGCATCCATTTAAAGATAGAGGCTTATGGAAGAGAATTTAAGGGCAAATACAGAAGGCAATAGAGGCACACCTCATTTTATTGTGCTTTGCTTTAGTGCACTTTGCAGATTTTGGGGGGGAGGGGTTCATACAAATTGAAGGTTTATGGCAACCCTGCGTGGGGCAAATCTATTGACACCATTTTCCAGTAGCACGCGCTCACGTCGCGTCTCTGTGTCACATTTTGACCATTCTCACAACACTTCCCACTTTTTCATTACTATTCTATCTGCTACGCTGATTTGGGACCAGCGGTCTTTGATGTTACTATTGTCGTTGTGATGGGGCACCACGAACCACGCCCACATAAGATGGTGAACTTAATAAATGTTGTGTGTGTTCTGTCTGCTCAGAAGTGGCCGTTCCCCACTTCTCTCCTCTCCCTGGGCCTTCCTATTCCCTGAGACACGACAATATCAAAGAATATCACAGGAACTTAGTTTATAAAGCAGTGGCAGGGTGTGAGAGGACTGACCCCAGTTTTGAAGGTTCTACACAGGGTAAAATGCTATGAAGCAATATGACATCCTACGGAGAAATCTTTCATGAAAGGAAGAGTCAGTCACAGTAAACCTCATTGCCGTCTTATTTTACGAAATTGTCACAGCCACCCCAGCCTTCAGCAGGCACCCCCTGGGTCAGCAGCCAGCGACGCGGAGGCAAGACCCTCCACCAGCAAAGATGGTGACTCGCTGAAGGCTCCGTTGATGGTCAGCAATTTTTAGCAATAAAGTATTTTTAACTAAGGTCGCACTGAATAAACTACAGCGTAGTGTAAATATAATGTACGGGGAAACTGGAAAATCACGTGACTTGCTTTATTGAGATATTTGTTTTATTGAGGTGGTCTAGAACCAAACCCACTATATCTCCGAGATATGCCTGTACTGAGCACACTCCTGGTGAGCAGGAGACGGTGACAGGGCAAGGGACTTCATCTCTCTGAGCCTCAGTTTCTCCGCCTGTAAAATTAAGGGAGCGTGACTTTGAGGAAATCAGAGAATCATAGAAGAGTTGCATGAACTGATGCAGCGAGAAAGAAGCAGAACCAAGAAAAACCAGCGACCGCCACAATGTAGGCGCAGAAGAAAGCCTCCAAGCAACCCACGCTCTAGTGAAAGGACTCAGCGGGCAGACAACAAAGGACACGTGCCTTCCTCCTCTCACAGCGAGGGGGGCGATTCCCGCCACCAATGGCCATCTGGCCAGGTTGGAGAGGTGACTGCATCTCATAGTTCCGCTAAACTGTTTTTCAGTGATACTAGGGAGGGTTTCTCTGGAGAGATGGGGGTGGGGAGTGTGTATTTTCAGAAAGGACTGGGATGTAAAAACAAAATACGTCAATAAAGCTTATTTTAAAAAAATAAATGAAATGAAAGAAGTTGGATTAAGTGGTCACTAAGGTCTTTTCCAAGGTAGTTAGGTGGTACAGTGGATAGAGTGCTGGGCCTGGAAGCAAATCCAGTCTCACACTTACTAGCTGTGTGACCCTGGGCAAGTCACCTAGCCCTGTTTGCCTCAGTTTCCTCATCAGCTAGACAAGGAAATGGCAAACCAGTCCAGTACCTCTGCCAAGAAAACCCCCAATGGGGTCATGGAGAGTCAGACACAACTGCACTACAACAAAAGGTTCCTTCCCCGTTCTAAATAGATGATCTTGTGATCCCAGTGAGCCCCTCCCAGGCCATAGGTTGGCTTCCTCCCCAGAGCTCAGAGCGCTTTTGCTGATCTCACCACCCAAGGGGCACAGATCACCCAGGATCCTTTACTATCTGTTCCTAATACCCAATGAGACTCCAAGCTCCAGGAAGGCCGGGATTATGCTGCATGTGCCTTCTGTATAGCCCTGAGCACCCTCAATGCAGCAGCAAAGGTTTGCTAATGGACAACATTCTACGATTCAGGGAGCCAGAGGAAGGGACTCCCACCTAAGAAGCATCAGGAGCTCAACATAAGCCTTCCTCCCTCCCCTGGGCAAGTCACATCACCTCTGGGCCTCAGTATTCTCATCTGTAAAATGGGAAGGCTGAACTGGCTGATCTCTACTCTCTGTGACCCCTCCCCTCCCTGGCACTCCCATACCAGCAGCAAGCAAGCAGCAGGGAAGAAAACTGCCAAAGAGAGGAAACCAAACATGGGTCAGGATCAGATTTTCTGAAGGCAGGGCATGTTTTGTTCTCACCTGGGCCTCCGGCACAAATGTCTCACGTTACCCATCCAGACTGACCCCCTGACAGCTCAGGACAGTGGTCCAAGGCTGCGGGTAAAGGCAGAGAGAGAGACAGGACACCAGAAGGGACAGGGAAGAGAGAGGGAATTTCTGCCCTGAAATCTTCTCCTGCTGCAGGGATGGCCTCAGCCAAAGTCTGCCTGGGCTCTCACCGGGGCTCGGGAAGGGACAGGAGAACATTACAGTAACGAGGCTCTAATGTATTTGCTTTGGCAAAAGGCTCGGAAAATTCTCCGTGTGTGCAAAGGCTGCATGGCAAAAGACCGCTTTCCCACTTCACTAATTTCTCAGGTATTCTCCGCCACGGCCGAGAAGGAAGCCTCCCTGCCCCCTCCCCTGTCCCAGGCACACAGCTCCAGGGAGGCCCAACCGAGGAGCTCCCCTCCTGTGGACAGCTGGCTCTGCGGACCACACCCCGCCTTCTGGAAAGAGGAACAGAGATTTATTAAATGCCTACTAGGTACAAAACACTGGGCCAGGCACAGGGGAAGAGGCCAGCATTAATTGACACAGCCCCTTCCTTTGCTGAGTTCACACAAATGCACGGCAAAAACACAGAACATGACATGGAAAAGAGGCCCTGGGAGCCCTGACAGGGAAGTGGCAGGCTTGGGGAGGGAGATCATGGAAGGCTCCCTGGAGGAGGAGGCCTTGTCTGAGCTCCAACTCTCCCTAAGCCTGGCTTCGGTAACACCACTCTCTCCTCCCAAGGATACTGAGGATACTGCAGAATACTAAGCCGGAACGCACATTTACATGCATCGGCCATCGATTAGACGCCTACCATGCGCCAGGTCGTGTACCCCCGGGACAAAAACAAAACCCTCCTTGCCTTCAAGAAACTGACATTCTACTGGGAAGGAACAAAAGACGAGGATGGTGCCGGGCCCGTAGAGCCAGAGGGACCCTGGGAAGGCTTCAAATAAAAGCTGGTGCCTGAAGGATGTCACCCAAGACAGGGGCTGGTCACCGCTGACTTTCCCCCATCTCCACTTCGATGCCTCCCTCCTGCCTGAATAATGATGATGATGATGATGATGATGATGATGATGATGATGATGGTGGTGGTGGTGGTGGTGATAGCATTTCTATAGCACTTGAAGGTTTGCAGAATACAGATGTTATCTCATTTTACCCTCACGACAACCTTGGGAGGGAGGTGCTATTATTATCCCCATTTTACAGATGAGGAAACTGAGGCAAACAGAGGATAAGTGCTCTGCCCGGGGTCCCACAGCCAGTAAGTGCTGTGGTAAGATCTGAATTCTGCTCTTCCTGACTCTCACTAGCCACATCGCTGCCTCTAAGCCAAAGAGAAGGGGGTGGATTCTAGAGAGGCCGAGGAGGGAGAATCCACGAGATTTTGTAACGACGGGGGGAGGGGAGAGGGGAGGGTGACTCAGCTGCCCCTAAGAATGAGGGCGTCCTTGTCATTAATGGGGAGGAGGGGGAGCAGGAAGATGCCTGCTCTCCTGTCCTGCCACCTTCTCATTTCCACAGAGTCCCCGTTAGGAGGCCGAGGCAGGGCTCCCCGCGGGGCTGCAGGCCAGCAGGTAAGTCCTGTGCATCAGTGCGGTGGACTGAGGAGGAGCCAGGACGGGAGCGGCGAGCAACCTGGGACCGGATCAGAGGTGCAGGGGCAGGAGGGCGGGAGATCCACAGGTCAGGAGGGGTGGTGCCCATGGAGGCAGGCAGGAGCAGATTATGCTGGTTAAGTGCTGCGAGCTTACCTGCCAAACGCCAAGGGGAAAAGGATCTTTCTGGTAGCTGGGTGGAGAAATCAAGCGTTAGCCTTGGAGTCGGTAAAAGCCCCAAATTCAAATCCGGCCTCCGACGCTCACTAGCCGTGTGACCCTAGGTGAGTCGTTTAATCTCTGCCTCAGTTTCCTCATCTGTTCTCAAACTCCCTAATCAAAGTCCCTGTGAATGGGATTTTTGTCTGCAAAAGGCTCACTAAGATCCAGCCACATTTCAGAAAGCAGAGAAGTGAGGAGAAGGGGCAGAGGCCAGGCTGGGGAAGAGCTTGTTCAGTCTGGGGGGGGGGACCCTGCCCTCTCCCCTCATCCCCACCTCCCCACCCCACTCCTGACTGTGCCACCCACAGTCCGATTCAGGGCTGGGACTGATCCCAGGGTTGGACTAGTCCAACCAGTTTGTCGTACACAGGAGGAAACTGAGGCTCACAGAAAAGAAGTGACTTGCCCAAGGCCACGCAGCTATTTTATAAAAATAGTCAATCTATTTTTAACTAGAAAAATGTGTCCCTTTCAGATTTTTGGCACCAGAAGAGAGGGGCCACCTCACCAGTGAACAAGCCAGCCATTAGCACGCGGTTTTCGCAAAGCCCCTGACGACTACGGGAGGGCCAAAGGCTAGCTTGGCTGTGAGTGGCCCTGGAGGGTGGAACGAGGGACAGGAACAAGGGCAGGGTCCTGCAGACCAGCAGTTTCAGCTGGACAGAGGGGCCAGGCTGCCTCGGGGTGCTCCCCACCACTGAAAGATGGCTGCTTGTCCACGGCGGCATTGGAGGAATCCTCAGTCAGAAAGGGGCTGGATCCCAAGGCCCCCAAGCTTCTTTGAGGTTCTTTTCAGCTCTGACATTCTGGGGCAGGGGAGGAGGGAAGGAGAGAGTGAGACATCAAGAGCCCACCAAAGAATCCCATCAAGTCCTCACCAACGAATACTGACAGTGTGACCCTGGGTAAGTCACTAACCTCCCAGGATCATAGATTTAAACACAGAAGGCATCTTAGAGGCCACATGATGGTGACTCCTCATCATTCGGATGAAGAAACCAAGGCCCAGACTGGTTCGATGATTTGCCCAGGATCACACCCTTGTAATTGGGCATGGTAGGGTTTGAACCCAGGCCTTCCTGACTTCAACTATTCAACCTCTCTGAGCCTCAGTTTCCCATCTATTAAAATGAGAATGACAGTAGTTACACTCCCTTCCCTTGCAAGGATGTACTAGGGACAGTGCTTTGAACAACTTAACTTCAACTGCCTTACTTCGATCAATAAGTGGGTAAAGACCTATCCCGTCATGTAGAATTTCTTACTACGTGTAAGTTATTGCGCCGTGGCCCCCTCACCAGAGTCACAGAGGGGCTGCCGACTAAGCCAGGTTTAATGGCCTTGGGTGCTAGTGGATGCTCCATGATCTTCACCAGATCCAGACCCTGAGACCATCTGCCATGAGCTGGGAGGGCCTTGGAAGCCATCTTGCCCAACCCTTTCATTTTCCAGCTGAGAAAATTGCAGCCCAGAGAAAGGCAGAGGCTTGTCCAGAATCACAGAGGTCCTGGAGGAACCCACGTCCTGCACCATAAGCACCAAATCCCATGTTTTTGTTTTTTTTCAGTGCACCACCCCAGCTCCTGACATGATTTGAATACATGATCAGAAGATTTTAGAGAAAATTAAACAGAGAGGGGAGAATCAAACATTTTCCAAGCATTTCGATTATCCCCCAAATCTCAATGGCACCCTTTCAAAGAGCAGAAATAATTCAAAAACAGCACCAGGATTTGAAGTCAAAGGCTCCTTCCCCCATGGCGCCAGAGCTATGACGATTGAAGTTACCGCCAATAAGGCCAGATAAAATGTCTCAAACCTCAGAAGTACAAATCATTCATCGACCCTGCAAAGGCAACCTTTGAGGCATCTGACTTCAGAAGTCCATGACTCGTGTTTTAAAAATTAACCCCAAACAGCTTGAAAAGAAAAGTCCCTAGGCGAAATTTAAAGGGCAGCGACACACCACGCAAATGTAAAAGGATTAGACTGTAAAGCGATAATCGCCTCTACTCCCCAAAGATAAAAACAAGCTACAAGCTAAAAAACAAGCCTTCTCCTCAGGACACAACTACCACTGATGGGGATTTGGAGCTGCGGTCAGAGTGTTGGAAGCTTTTTTATTTCTACAGGAAAAGATGATATAGGTCTGGAGGATTTTCACTTATTTACCTGGGTTTGGAGCACCACACTCCTGAGCTATTCCGGCCTCAGAAAAACTCTGAAATATAGAGGAAATGATTCATGCCATCTCAGTTCTTCTAGTCAACACTTCCCTGCTCCCTCCACCCCCCACCCATTCAGTCCTTCTAAATGCCTAATGAGGCCAAACGGAGCTGGAATGGGCCAAGCAAGCCCTGAGAAGTAGTGAGCTACATGGCTCTCCCCACTCACATCAGAAACCAGTAAATTACACCGTTGTAGTAGGCTGCACCAGGATGTTCAAGTGGTGAGAATCCTATGTTTAAGAGGCTACCACAAAGCCCTTGTGCTCTTGTCTTTTCCTATCTCCAAATAAACAACCAACTTAGCTGAGAGAATGCGTATCCCTCCCTTCCCCACCACGGAGGTGGGGGGCTGTGGGTATGGAATAGTACATATACTGTCAGGGGGTTAATGTGTTGGTTGGTTTTGTGAACTGCTTTTTCTCCCCTCTTTCTTTTTCAATCTTCACTACAAAGGATGGCTCGTGGGTAGAGGAAGAAGGAGGGATAGGAAAATGAAATTTAGAAAGGAAAGGAAAATGATATAAAAATTATCATAAAAATATAAAAAATGTGTTTAAGCAGACAACATCCTGGCCTGTGTAAGAGTTCATGAAAAGAAGCCCTAGAGACGGGTTTTCCCGGGGAAGCATTTCTAGGAAAATGCAGCTCCAGACAGCCCATGAAAACGGTTCCTTTTAAAACCATCAGGTATGATTCAAAAGCCTTGGACTCTGTAATCACAGCCAGGAGTACTGGGATTTCAGGAGATGTCCTTAAATTTTCCTTTACTCATGCTAATGTCTAGTGGTTATTTCTGGCAGCTTGGCTGTGTTAATCCTGACACTACCCAGAAAACCCAAACCACGACTACGGATCCCCCACAACACAAAGTGAGGGCACATTGCTCAGGGAATTTTCTGGTTATGAGGGTGGCAGGTATACCTTTCATGCCATGCCACAATTAAGGAAGGAAACAGGGACTATTGAGCCTGGAGACAAGAAGGGAACATGTCAGCAGTCTTTACATATATGAAAAGCTACTCACACAGAAAAGAGATGAGATCTGTTCTGCTGGGCCCCCAGAGGACTGACAGGCAAGCTCTGCAGATGCTTTTCCGGGAGCCATGTGGATGGGAAGAGAAGTATTGCTTTCCTAATAGCCGATTGGTTAGAGAAAGGCAGTGTTACGCTCTGACACCATCTACAGTCAAAGAGGAAAAAACCTCCCAAAGGTTTGTTTCTACTGCCCCTTGTCATCCTCTGGTTTGAGAGAGAGAAACAGAAAGGGAAAGACAGGCTTTGCTCTGCTGTAAGTCGTACTGATTGGAGCAGAGGCATGGCGTTGCTGAGAGCTTAATGGAAAAAGCAGAATCCCTCACTGTTTGTTTGAGAAACTTCTCAGAGGCCCACAGCAGATCTGAGGAGCTTGGCAGTTTTCAGGTTTAAGGGAACTGCTTATCACTGAAAAAGCGTAACACTCAGTGTACTGCCAAGGGTGGCTGTGTGTTAAAAGAGACTGACTTCAACAGCCTGACATCTCAGCAAGTCACTAATAGTACAGATGGCTCCCTAAAGAGATCAAGGACATCAAAGCCAGCAGTCTGGAGGCATTACTTGCCTCAGCGCCACGTGTTTCCCCATTCACAGGCCTCTTGACTGCGTGTGCCCACTTTCCCCATGGATACTGTGTGCATTGGAGAGAGTATGATTGAGGTTTCAGAGCTAACTGTTACATTTTTCTTATCCCTGTTTTTGCCTTCTATTGGGTAAATGTTTGCTTTTGCCTCCTAGTTTAGAAAATGTTCTATGTTCAAGAGTCCATGATATTAATGTGATTGATCTGCATAAATGGGAAGCATGTTGGTGGGTGCTCAGAAGCTACAATGTTGAGTATTATGAATGTTTCCCTCACACCTGGGTTATCTCTAGGACCCTGAGAGAATGGAGTTATTATTGCCTTATAGTTACTATTCTAGGGAATCATCCTCACCCAGGTGGGGTGAGTAAACCAACCATAACCTGGAGAAAGAGAGCCTGGGGAGAGTTGGGCTGCCCAAAAATAATAACATACATAACACTAAAGTTTGCAAAGCACTTTATAGGCACTATCACGGTTTAGTGGAGAGAATATTCAGCTTGGGTCAGGAAGACCTGGATTGAAAATCTACCTCTAGCACTTACTAGCTGTTCAAACATGGGCAAGTCACTTAAGGTCTCCGATCCTCAGCTTTTCTAGCTGGAGAACGGGGGTAATAACATTGCCTACCTCATAGAATGACTGTGAGGCTCAATTGTGTTATTGTCTGAAAAGTCCGCTTATCATCATCGTCGTCGTTTGAAAGCTGAGGAAGCAGTGTGGGGCGGGGGAAGGAAGGATGCTGGAGTCTGAGGCCCTGGTTCAAAGCTGAGCTCAGTCACTTACTGCCAGGCGGGTGACCTTGGGCAGTACACTCTGCCTCTTTAAGCCTCTCTAAAATAAAGAGAGTGGACAGATGGTCTTGATTTCCATCCCCGACCCTAGGAAGATTCGAGGGTCAGAAATGATGCGCCTTGTCCACGATCACACAATCATCAACGCCAGCAGAGGCACTTAAATCCAGCTCCTGCTGCCCCATCCTGACTCTCATCATCGTAATCGCCGCATCTGACATGCGCTCAGGACCGAACACGACTGCCCCAGGCTCTCAGGGAAGTATTCAGCGGAACCCTTGGCCTTCGCACTCGCTCCCTGATGATCAAAGTCTTCTGCACTGCTCCTGCCAAAGGCCTTTCCCTCAGGAACCGCCACTCCAAAGGAGGCGCCACCCAGCAGCTCCTGGTGACCCCCCAAAAAAAGGGTCGACCCCTTTAGGCCAGCCCCAGAAACACTCAATGTGGCAGCAAGCCAGGCCCCCTAGGCACCTAGACACCCACAAGGGACCTGTGACGTCATCAGCATGGGAGAGACTCCTGGCAGTGGAGCTCTCTGCCTCATCACAGTGAAGAAAGTCCCAGGGAGTTACCGAGAAGAGACGGAACACAGATGCTCAGTGCCAGAGGCAGGATCTGAACCCAGGTCTCGCTGACTCTAGGCTCAGAGTACTGCCACTAGGCAGTAGGCCACTAGGCTACGCTGCCTCTATTGTGTGCCCAGAAAGGTGAAGGGACCCTAGGGTCCCACAGAGCTAGAGGGAACCTTTGAGGCCATGTAGCTAGTCTAACCCCCTGATCTGACAGCTGAGGAAACTGAGGCCAGACCAGGTAAGTGGTAGAACCTGGGTCTGAATCCGGCACATAGTAAGTGCTTAAGACTACTGAACTGTTGACTCAGACTACACCTAATGTCACAGCATCAGCCCCAACATCTCCTATTCAGGTACTGCTATTAGAGTACCAACCAACCTGGGCTGCTCATTCTCATCTGAACAGGACCTGGGCTTCCCATCTGGAAAATGGGGATATCAGTATCCAACCGGCCTGGTATCTCAGGTATTAATTAATTAATTAATTAATCTCAGGTATTAATAATATTAATAATAGCCAACATCTATGTAGTGTTTATTATGTGCCAGGCACTGTGCTAAGCGCTTTACAAATATTACCTCATTTGATCCACACAACACCTGGGAGGTAGGTGCTATCACTAGGCCCATTTTATAGATGATAAAACCGTGGCAAACAGGTTAAGTGACTTGTCCGGGGTCACACTGCTAGTTTGTGTCTGAGGCTGGATTTGAACTCGGGTCTTCCCAACTCCAAGCCCACCACTCCATCCACTGTGCCATCTAGATGCTCCATAAGAGCGTTAAGGTTTGGAGAGGGTTTGTGACACCATGCCTAGCATCGATACCTGGCACATAACTCGTCCTGGGGAAATAGCTGTGGAACTGAGGACGACCCTTCCCAGCTCATGGCCTTCAAATGAGGAGACTGAGCCGCTGGAGAGCTCCCAGTGAGGTAGGGAAGGAGTCTTCCGTCTCCTCTTCTAAAGACCAGGGTGTTTCTCTCCTGAACTTACTAAGGAATTCATCTTCTGTTAATTTTCCCATTCAAGCCCTGACTTCAGATAAGATGGTGCAGGGACAAGAGTGGTGCTGGCCTCAGAACAGGGCCCCCAAACCAGCTCTGACGCTGCCTATCTGCATGACTGTGTGCCAGTCATTTCACTTCTCTGAGACTCAGTCATCCTACCTGTAAAATGGGGTTAGCAATGCCTCTCCATTTCTGAAGTGCTTTCCAGCTCTATATCTATGACTCTGGGACTTCTCTCTCCCACAGGCATGTCGTGAGGATAGGAGAGGTGTGAGCTCCAGGCAAAGGAGTTATTCTTTATATATTATTTAATTATTTAATATTTATCATTGATATTACTAGCTGTGTGATCATGGGCGAGTCACTGAAAGTCGCTGATCTTTTATATTACCTGAATTAGGTCACCAAGACCAGCGTTCAAGCACCATTTTGGATGCATAAAGTCTCTGACCTGGGCAAGTTGCTCTGTATCTCTGAAGACTGTAAGTTATAGGAGTTACCAGTCTACTTTAGTGGAAGGAGTTCTCACACTGAGAGGTCCCATCGTTGATCAAATCACAGGTTGACATCCCACCACCAAACAAAATCAACATTTGCACCCATTTTCCATCGGTCTGCTTCTACAGAGAACACTGCAAAAGTCCATTTTTTTTTAGAAGAATTATCCAAGCCCTTTCAAAGAGCCTGGATGTCAAGGCCATTCTACACAACCCAGAGACGCTTACCAGTTCCAGCTTACGGCCCGGCAGCAGCTGACACGTGTGAGTGCACGACTGTCTGATAAACAAGACAGATCAACCTAGAGAAGGCCACCAGGAGAGAGCCTGGCAGCTGTGATGACGCCTCCTCGGCCTTCCTCTCAATTCTGCTCCCATCTCAACCCAAGAAGCAAGACCGTCGGCCCTGGTGGCCTTCAGAACGCGGGAGCATCACTTACCCGTGAGCAGGGTCCAGCGCGATGGCCCGCGGCTGGTCCAGATCTTGCCAGAAAAGGACTTTTCTCGAGGTTCCATTGAGATCGGCCACCTCGATTCGATTGGTCTCCGAGTCTGTCCAGTAGAGCTTCTTCCCGATCCAATCACACGCCAAGCCATCGGGGGACACCAGGCCGGAGATGATGACGTTCTGCACCGCGCTCCCTGACTGGTTAAAGTATGTTTGCTTGATGGCTTCTTCACTCACATCCGTCCAGTAAATGACACCCTGGGAGTACTGGAAGTCCACAGCCGCCGCGTCCTCCAGGCCGCTCACCACAATGCTGGATTCCAACTTGGCTCCTCCAGCGTCCACCAGCCTCACGTCCCGGCGGTTGGCAAAGAGCAGGAGCGGGGAGGCTGCAAGAGCAAACGTAAATGTTGAGCCCCCTCAAGACGTGCTGGGCTACCACCCCCGGGCCGGGCTCCCACGTGACCCCTGGCTCCATGTGGACGCCATCAAGATCAATTCCCTCATTTTACAGCTGAGGAAACTGAGGCACAGAGATGGGAAGTCATTTTACCAGGGTCACTCAGCTAAAAGGTGCCAGAGACAGGATTTGAATCCAAGACCTCCTCCTTTCCATTCCAGCATACTATCTATTACCACACAATGCCTTTCTCTATGATGCCAGCATTAAAGTTAGATCTCTGAGCAATTCTTTTTTTAGTGGACAAGAAGAAAAGAGTTAAAGCATGGCTGTGTGTTCACTCATCAGCTAATGGGGACTGAAAGCTGTCTTCCAGTATTTAAAGGGCTGTCATCTGGAAGGAAGATTAGCCTTGCTAGGTCAGGACTAGGAGTAATGAGGGGGATGTGCCGAAGAGGGAGTTAAGTTCTAACTCAGGAAAAACAAACCAACTTCCTAAGAATGAGAGCTATTTGAAAGTAGAATGGGATGTCTGGGGAGGGAGTGAGTTCCTCATAACTGGAGGTATCCAATTAGCAATGAGATAGCCATTTGTCAGGAACTCAATGGTATGGTGTAGGATGTGCTTCTCGGGGCAACTGTTGTCTGTATACCTGGGATGTCTGTGCAATGCAGGTCTGGCCCGTGGGAAGACCCAGAGTCCTGTGTCTCGGGCACTCTCTCTCAGAGGAGATGTGCAGTCTCACAGTGGCACCGTCTCCCTGGGGAGATGGCTTCTGGGTGAAATTGCTGACGTGTGAGGTCAGCACTTTGGAGAGTTACAGCAGGGGTGGACGTTCTGCCGCTGGTCCCAGTTGGCTAATGAGGCAACAGGCTGCGAAGCCAGAAGTGAACGCATCTTTCCAAAAGCCTGAGAAGTTCGGGGCGGCTCTGTGCTTCCTGCACGTCTAGGGGCGGCAGGCGACTCCTTTGCTTAGCCTTTAAATTTTCTGTTTATTATTAGCACCCTGGTACTATGCATATTATAAATTAAAAATACACATGTTGGGGGGAATGCTCAAAATTGTGTCTTTATGAGCCCTGTTGTTGAGTTGTTTCAGTCGTGTCTGACTCTCCACGACCCCATTTTGGGGTTTTCTTGGCAGAGATACTGGAGTGGTTTGCCATTTCCTTCTCCAGTTCATTTTACAGATGAGGAAACTGAGGCAGCCAGGGCGAAGTGACTTCCCCAGGTTCACACAGCCAGTAAGTGTCTCAGGCCTGACTTTTTTTTAATTTTTTTTTCTTTTTTAGGCAGTTGGGGTTAAGTGACTTGCCCAGGGTCACACAGCTAGTAAGTGTCAAATGTTTGGTCTGAGGCCGGATTTGAACTCAGGTCCTCCTGACTTCAGGGCCGGTGCTCTATCCACTGTGCCACCCAGCTGCCCCTCAGACCTGATCTGAACTCAGGTACACGATCAAAAAAATTTGGTCAAGATGACCCCTGAGATTCCAAACTTCTGGGTAAGACTGGACACAAGGACTTGGAGGGAGCTACAGATACACTGGTACCGTCCTTTGTTGCAGCATGTTTTTCATTGTGAATAATTTTTAGTATGATATTCAGTTTGGGTTTTTGGCAAAGCTGCTTGGGAGAGGTGGAGGGCCCCATGTCCAGACCTGGGATTTCACTGGCACAGGGAACACCTGTCAATCAATCAACAACATTTAGTAAGTGCCTACTATGTGCCAGGCCCTGGGGATACAGAGGCAAAGGAGGCAATATACCAACAACTACATACACAAATGCTGGCGGCAGGATAAACTGGAGATAATGCCCAGAGGGAAGCTGCCAGTATTAGAGATGGGAAAGGCTTCCTGGAGAAGGCGGGGCTTTAGCTGGGACCCGAAGGAAGCCAGGAGAGGAAGATGAGGAGGGAGAGAAATCCAGGCATGGAGAACAACCAGTGCAAATGCCTCGAGTCTGCAGATGAAGCATCTGGTTCCAGGAACAACAAGGCGGCCCCTGCTGAGGAAACTCCCTGGGCTTCGATGCACAGCATCAGGCCCTCAGTGACTCTGATTTAATTACCTACCACCCACAGGCCTCAAATGCAAGACTTGAACCCAGGGCCTCCTGACTCAGATGCTGCCTTTTCTAAGCTCGTTAAGCCCCAACCACAAATAACTTTTCAGCTCGTCCTCAGCCTGTATGAATATCAAGACATGTACAGCAAAGGAAAACTAGCTGGCCCCACCAAACCAGGCCAACCACATTCAGCAGCCCTGAGCCAACTGGCCTCAGACTCGAAACTTTGGTTCCAGCCCTGGCTCAGAAAGGTGATGGTTTTTCAACTTGGCAAATAGCATCTGAATGTAACAGCCCCAAGCCCAAAGGAGAGGCTGACAGACAGAGAGGAGACTTGTGACTCGCCAGGCCCACAAACAACTACAGTGTAAGGAAAACTGGGGAGATCTGAGCAGGCTTCCCAGAGAAGGGGACACCCGAATGGAGCCTTGAAAAAAGGCAAGAATTCTGAGAGACGACGACGGGTGAGGGAGGAGGGCATTCCAGGCCTGGGCATAGCCTGTACCAATGCATGGAGGTGGGAAATGGACCACCCACCGTTCACAAGCATGTGAATAGCAGTAGAAGGAAGTCAGGTTGGACAGGTGAGTGGCAGGCCAATGGTCGGTAACTCCAGCCAGGTTAAGGAGTGTGTACCTTATCCCAGAAGCAATAGGGAGCCATTGAAGATTTTGGAGCAAGGCAGTAATAGAATCAGATCTGTACCTTAGGAGGATGACTTTGACAGTTGGAGAGAGGATACAATGTAAGCTGGAAACAATGGAGACAGTTCCCCTTCCCCCCTCCAATTTTATGCATGAGGAAACTAAAAAGAGAGGGCCCTCAAGTTCAGGGCTCCTGCTACTTCACCACAGGCCCCCCAGGTGTGGGGGTGGGGTGGGGGCGAGCAGTTCTAGGCACAAGTGATTCACTCCTTCTAATTCCTCCCCCCTCCTCCCCCTCCCCAAATAGTGCTCCCAGTGAGTCCCAAGGCTCCTCGGATGGACATGTGTCAATCATTCACACTCCGCCCCACATCACTGTTTTCATGAAGTTTCACTGAGCTCCCAGCAGCCAGAGGAGCTGGTCTTGGAAGTTTCTGACCATCTGTGCACACATTGTCCATGAACCTCACCCAACATGATTAACTTCTACAGGACAGATCCTGGCTGGGGGCCAAGTCTAGTCCCAGATGTTCCCTTGGAAATAGGGATCAAGATCTATTAGGCAAAGCCAATGAAAACTAGGTAATTCAATCTACTCCTTTTCAATTCAATTTCATTTTAATTAAATGAAATACAAGCTCTCTTCTAAGGACCCGGCCTTCTCCCCTTGATGTTACTTTGTATGGTGCTATAATACTTTGTATCAGCATCATGTGCGGGGGGTCTGCCTCTTTCTCTGTGTAGGAAGCGTCTTCCTAAAATGTGATGCCAGGAAATGCACAATGCTCCAAAATGTGATTGGACCAGGGCGGAGCGCACAGGGCCCGCTGATTTCTAATGCAGTCCAGCCATCAGCTTTGGGGGCTGCGGCTGTCAGCCAGATTGTTTGCTTTGTGAGGGAGTTTTGTTGCTAGAGTTGCAGGATTGGGGGGGTTTTGATGGTGTTTTTCCTTCCTTCTTTCTGAGCTAAAAGGCTCAGGTCTTTTGCAGACAAATAGCCACCCAGTCAACCTTCCCATCATGCACTTGTGATGTTGATTTTTTTTTCCAATCTGAGTTCAGTATTAAAGTTTACACTCGTCCAAATCAAATGCCATCATCTTAGATTGAACCCAGTGCTCTTCAGCTGTCAAAATCTCTGGATACCCAATGCCTGTTAGCCATCTCTCCAAGCAGGGGGTCATCTGAAAATGTAAGAGGCTTACCATCAATGGCCATACCAAATCTATCCTCAGACACTTACCAGCTAGGACACCACTTAACTTGTCTGCCTCAGTTTCCTCAACTGTAAAATGGGAATCATAACAGCACCGACTTCATAAAGTTGGTATGTGGAATACATGAGATAATATTTGTAAAGCATCTAGCATAGTACCTGGCACACAGCAGGCATTATATAAATGTGTTGCTCCTTTCCCCCTCCCCAGATCTCTCTCCATTCAGCCATCTTGCCTTACATAGTAAGTACATTAAAAAAGTTTAAGACATAAATGAATGGGGGCAGCTGGGGGCAGCTAGGGACAGCTAGGTGGCGCAGTAGATAGAGCTCCGGCCTTGGAGTCAGGAGGACCCGAGTTCAAATCCGGCCTCAGACACATGACACTTCCTAGCTGTGGGACCCTGAGCAAGTCACCTAGCCCTATTTGCCTCAGTTTCCTCATCTGTAAACTGAGCTGGGGAAGGAAATGGCAAACCGCTCCAGTATCTCTGCCAAGCAAACCAAGCAATGGGAAGCAATGGGGTCATGAAGAGTCGGACAGGACCAGAAATGACTCAGGAAGGACAGCAGCAGCAATCTTATAAAGTAGCAGGGGAGTGGAGTCGGTAAGTGGGACCTCAGGCAGGCTGGCCGGACTTCAGGCCGGCTCTAGCCAGGGGGATGGTTAGGGTCCATGGGGAGGGAGTCGTGCACACTGGCACGGAGGAACATCACTCTGGGGAAGGAGAAGTGAAGACGACTGAGCCCTCAGGTTTGGCTTCAGCACAAAACATCCTCCCTCCGCTTCCGCTGTGATCGCCGCCCAAACTGGAAAGACGGCATTTTTTGCACCTTCCAGAAACTGTGTGTTCTTGTTAGGAGTTGCTGAGTCGGTCACGTTTTCCCTTTCAAAGGCAAACAGCTCAAAACCTCTGGGTCTGCCTATTGGTTCACAGGGTTTGGGCTCTCTCTTTCCAAATCAAGAAGCTAGAAGTAGCAGAAACTGCCTTCAATGAATGAGGCTTAAAAAGAGACTGAGTTGGGGAAAAAAAAAAAAACCCAACCAGCCCACACCTGCT